TCCCTTAACATCTAGTTTTAATTAGGACTGGTGCCAAAACTGAACTGTGGAATTGTCATGGTTTGATCCCATCCCCCAATTACCTATCAAATATTAATATTGGGTTATTCAAATTTTTTGTTTTATCTACCGAATACATATGGTTTCATTTTTATAGAAGGAATGAAAATTAAGAACAGCTAATGGTCTGTCTTCCAGGATTTGGAGCCAGCCCTGCCCTTTTTCCAGAAGTACAGGGATGAAATAGTAGCAGTTGGTGAGGTAAAAAACTGGGCCTTAACGACTTTTTAAATAACAGAAATGATTTCCTAATAACATAAAGCATCTGTTTTTGACATTTAAAATAGGCAATATATCAGAAAATATTTGAAGACCTTTATCACTGCATGAACTCTATGCACTGACACTGCAAAGAAACACATTGTCCTGCCTGCAGATTGTAAAGTGAAGTGTCATGCTTTTGGTACGTCAATGTAAATTAATAATTTTTAGATTTATGCAGCACAGCTATTCCACTTTTGCCACATTAGCTCAATGTGTTTTGCCATTGAGGGTTTGTACATAATTATAAAAAATATCTGCTGTGACTGTTGAGGTACTGTATGTACAGTAGTCATCTATTATATATCTGAAAAGATTAAAAGTACATTGTAGTGTATGTATCTTATAAATTTAATCTTCCATGTATCTTTAAGTATTTTTAAGGCTCAGACAGTGTTTTACAGTTTTTTCAAAACAAATTCAGACTAAGCTTTTCCTCCACATCTGCAGATAGGTCTCGACTACACACCTTGGTATGCCCCTGACGCACAGCACCATGAGGAACAACTGAGAGTCTTCAGAAAGCAAGTGCAAATTGCCAAGGAACTTGATTTGCCAGTGTGAGTGTTTTGTTGGATAGTACATTGTTAGAGGAAAGAAATATTACTTAAATTAACTCCCATGCAATTTTCTACAGTAAACAATTTAGGTTTTTTAAACACAATGACAGATGTGTTGGCAAAAGTGAATTAAACAAATATTGTAACTGCTATCCTTTTTTATCGTTGTATGTCTATTACTACATTTTTTATTGTTTGATTTATTTTCTTATACAATGTGCACTTAAATGCTCCTTTCTAAAAGAGAAGGACTGATACTACATAAAACGACATTTACTGAAAAAGGGTATTTTTCAGTATTTTTCAAAGTATTCAAATGTAGAGCTGCAGTTTCATTTGAGATCCAAATTAGAATGCCAGTTTTTCTCAATTTTCTATTGATCATGTTACATTAGTTCAATCACTTGATATAATTGAATTTCATCTATGATTGGAGTTTTCATTCTGTCGTGAATATCCAAAATACACTGTGTGCTTCAGCAAGAATGGGTAATAACTAATGCATTTAATAGGAAATATCTCTGATTCATCATTATGGAATTGAACTGACAGTTTACTTCGGGTTGATCTACTCTGGTTTAATGCTCATAGTATAGTATTCCCGATATTTCCCTTGTACAGTATATACATCACTGAAAGCAAAGCATGTGCCACTCTTTTTTCCAAATCAAATGATAGCTTGTTTAGAAAGCATGTTGCCCCAGGAGTTCCAGAATGGCTCAGCCAATAAAAGTAGGTTGAGTACTGCAATACCCTGAAAGAGACATGTTATCAAAGTAATACAAAATTGTATTCTTGGTTATGAACTTACAGTAATTGGGCCTGAAAATGTTTCCATTACTAAAGGTTTAATCAACATGCAGCAATGAACACAGAATTGGCCAAACATCCCAGAACTACTTACACATATTATTCTGAACTGCGTATTTGAAAAATGCTGCACAAATATGAATTGAAAATTGTTTTTTACTTGGTTTCACAGAAATGTCCACTCCCGTTCAGCTGCAGCGATCACCATTGCAATTCTGAAAGAGCAAGGTTGGGATGCTTTGAGATAATAAAACCTGATAGCTTTCATTCTTATCTCAAAAGCTCTGGACTCAAAAACCTCATAAGAATGTTGACTCCTTTCCAACAACATACCATTTCTTTGACAAATGATGTGAACTCATTTTCTGAAAAGTGAATATTATAAATTGAAGCCTGAATGCTCAACCTGTACACTTTTATGGATGAAAAAAGTTAAATGTCGGCAAAATCTGCAAAGGAAAATATTTTAAAAAATCTATTCACCACATTAACTACTGGTAACTACTGGAAAACTGCTTTAAAAAGTCACACAATTAGTTGATTGGCTGTTAATGCCTCCGTGTGGATTAATAGTGGTTCACACATGATTTCAGAATAAGCACAGTTAATCAGGCAGTGAATTTCAAGCAAAGATTCAATTATAAAGTTCAAGAGCCTTTCAAAACAAGTCAGGAGTAAAGCTGTGTAAAGCCACAGATCAGGAGACAGGTATAAAAATCCAAAGATTATATACCAATTGAAGCATGGTCAAGTCAATCATTAAGAAGTGGAAAGTGTATGATATCATCCAGACCATGCCTAGATCAATCAGTTCCTCCTAACCAGTGGCCTGGTAAGGAAGAAGCTGGTGAGAGATGCCACTCTGAGGCCAATAGCAACATTAAAAAAGCTCCAAGGTTCAATGAGTAGAAATCATTATAGGGTTGAACATAATATTCAGTTTGAATATATGTATTGTATGATTTACCTAAATTGATTTGCAAAAAGAAATATGTATGCATTATACATTGTTTTACAGAAAGTGTAACAGAAAATATATATGTATTATAAATGCTTAACAACAAGCAGATTTCTGTTACAGAAGAAGAATGCAATACATATTTTCCCAACAATATGCACTGCATATTTTTCCAACAGTAGTTTTTACATAATTAGTTGTTTAACATTTTTTTCCAAAGGAACAGCAGCAAAGTCTCACCTTGTTTAAAGTAGAGCTCATGGCCCCTGCAGATAGATGCTGATATTAAAATGTGATATTCTAAAAAAAAGATTAATAGTACAGTAATTACTGTAAATAATTACAGTAATTGTAATATTAATCGTAATATTGTAATATTAAAGTGTAGTATTAATTATAATATAAATATATCTGATAAGAGATATATTAGACTTTGTTATAAATGACTATTGTATTTCAATATGATACACTCTTGATTTTAATACTTATCCAGGCAACCAAGTCATTTACTCAAAGTAATCTAAACTGTAATTCAAAATAGTAAATATGGTGCATTGGAAATACAATTAGTTGGATAAAATATTTTGGAAATATGTAAAACAAATTAGGTTTTGAAGTCATCAACACAAATATGATTTGCAAAGAAATCTAGAACA